TTATGATCCTGGTTGGAGCAGTTTGTTGCAAGTTGTTAGAATTCCCTTGATCGATCTGGCCTTTTATTGGTAACAAAAGAATTCTGTCTTTTATTGGTAACAAAAGATAAGAAACCAGCCATGGTTGAAAACCAGTTGTGGTGTCAGGTCCCCTGCAGAATCTATTCTTTATGGTCCTGGTTGGAGAAGTTTGTTGCAAGTTGTTAGAATTCCCTTGATCGATCTGGCCTTTTATTGGTAACAAAAGAATTCTGTCTTTTGAAGCTGAGTTACAATTGGCAGGGGTGATRATAAATTTTGAGGATGCAAAAAAGGTTGTTGTTGAGTTGACATCATTCTCATCTTCATTTAGTTTAAGTAAAGGGAATGTACTTTCATTTTTGAATTGCTTAAAGAATTTAGAAGGAACACAATACTCTCCATTTGAGGAATTCAAGAATTGCTTAGCTGACAAGAACCGGTTGAAAACCAGTCATGTATTCAAATTTGCGAAAGGCTCAATTCTATTTGACTCAAAATGGGGTTCACTATCCCAAATTTCTGATCTTCCTCTCATTACTCAGTGATGTATCACACTTTGTGGTCAAGGGTCTCAAGTTTCCAAAAGATTCCAAAGCAATAACAGCAGAAAGTGTGCTTGCATTACTAGAACGTATCCGCTTTCTACTAGTGGAATCACCAAACTTTACTGTTATAAAACAAATCCATGAATATCTCGATAAATTCAATTGGAAGCCACAGTCAGATGATAAGTCGGATTATCGGATACGGATTCCTGATCAAGACAGTGCCAGTGGACAGTAGGTGAACTCTCAAGTTTGTCTGGAATGACTGGGAGGTTAGCTGTCAACATCAAGTGATTTATGAAGAATGTTGTTCTTATTGGGCACATATCCTTAGAGTTTGAGATGATGAAACCAAGAAAATTTTTACAAAGAAGATGATTAAGCTTCCAGCTAGAACTTTTATAACATTCAGCTGGAGGTAAGTCTTCACAAATGCGAGTACTACCAAGCCTTTTTTGTGTGGTATCTGAAATCAAGTCCCATCCATTCCTCTGAACAGGTTGTACGAGATCTACAATAATCTTGGCGTTAGAAAAATCTTAGTCTGTGCAGAGACGATGTGCTGATTTTTTTAAGCTTCGGGAAGTGAATCAAGAAGCAGGCTGATTGGGTCAGGCCTTCTAATGCTTTTACTGGCTTATCTTGGTGATCCTTTCATCAAGGGCGTGTTCGTTTTTCATGAAGTGAAGGGGGGAAAGTCTGGTCAATGGGATTGTGAATCCCGTTGACCAATTTACCTGTGTTCGGATTTCAAAGATGTGTAGGACCCACAGAAAGTTTGATTTTCTCAGGTATCACTTACCCGACAAAATGATACCCTTGTGAGACTCGGGTAAGTTGGTTTCCTGAGTAGAGGGTAAGTAGATAAAAACTTAAAATCTCAAAATTGCCCCCACAATCGAGAGTCTCTCTTCTGCTTCTCTCAAAAATCAGCTTCACCACTGTTGATTCCCTCAGTTGCTGCCGCTACTTGACTAAGTCATCGCTGCTGCTCCGTCTAGTTACTAATGCCAAAGAGTTTATCCTCCTACAATCTATCATCCTCGTCATTCCTTTGTTGACGGCACCATTGATCCTCCTAGTTGCTGTCGTCGCTGCTCTGCCTAGTTGTCGCCGCTGCTCATTGTTTTTTCAACCATTGAAACGGTAAGAAATATTACTATTCCTCTTCCCACTGATTCGTCGTTCTTCTGTAATGCACATAATTAATGCATCTTATTTTTTTTCATCCCATTCAAAAAATTGCTTCTCATCTTATTGTTCCTATTTTATTGTTATTTCATTGATTTCCTTTTTTTTATTTTGATTTTTTGTTTCCAGAATTCTTGGTAATCCATTTTGTTGAAAGAGTACTAGAATGATTTTTGAGGACATTAAACTTATAATGAAGCGGAATACACATTTGGGAGCGGAGAAATGAAGGATATGCTTATCTTGTTGATCAATCCAGCCAGATCCTGTTTAATTGAGTTGCTATTAAAACAATCTTACTTAAGGCATGTAAAACTCAGAGAACCAAGAAATCTAGCCCAAGCGAAGTCTCACAGGAGCTCTAATTGCAGGTTGTTGTGCAACAGTTTCGAACATACAACAACCTGAAAAAGTTAGCAAAATGTTAGCTTTTGGACAACCAAAAATATAGGAGATACTTATCCAGTTTACTGGGGAAAAAATAAGAGAAAAATGCATCGTACACCGTTGTTGTTGTCTTTTGGATTTTCATAGGATATGATATTAATTTCTTGATAAATCAATGATAGAAGTTCTTTTTTGTATCAGGTACAAGTGCATTATATATACACCAACATCTAGGTTCTTTTCTTTTCTTTCTTTTTTTTTTTTTTTCGTTTGAGCAATAACATATTGTTGTCAGTTTGGAATAATGAAAATGGGAAGCATTTTTTCTTTTATTGGTAGTTGGGGCAGGATTAAGGTATAGTTCTGGTTCCATTTATTGCTCTTTTCCTTTTCTTGTGTGTGATTTTGAATGCTTGTTTATTTCTTTATGGTTCCATATATTTCAGTTTTGATCTGTTTTATGATGCAAAAAAAGGTTTATTCATGTCCCTTTTCTTTTGATATGATTGTCAATAGATTTTCATCCATGCAAAACATATGCTCATTCTAGTATCATTTTTTTTTTTTACATTTCTGTTGGCATAGTGGAGATTTTATCTGTTCTATTGAAATGAATAGAACTTTTTATTGAAAATTCAAGAAATTAAGTCATATCTGTGGTTGAAATTAYTGAGGTTTGGGTAYTCAATTGATAGAAAGGTCGTTAGCATCTCTTATTAAAATCAAATCTATGAGAGAAGAAAACATTTAGGTGCTTCATTTTCAAAACACCAATTAGTTTATGAATTTTAGCTATTAGTTTAGTTTTCTTGGCTTTATCATTTTAAAGGATCACTACCTCATGCTGGTCCCAGCTATCTGAGTCTTGGGAGGGGTTAATCTCTACCTAAACTCAACAATCTTGATTATCTATATTTATGACCAAAAAATTTGGCTTTGACTGATGTTGTAATTGTGCCTTCTTGGCCAACTGGTGGTGGTTCAGTTGGTAGATTAGTAATGTTTCACTAGGGCTTGCCTCATAACTACTTATGTGTAGTGGAACTAACATTAGACTTGGATACGTAAACCTTGGGGACATGAAGGATGAACATCACATAGTTAACTAATATTTAGAGTCACAAGCCTTAGCCTCCCCTGGGTCGTGAGGCTTGTCACTAGAACTCAGTGAGCTAGAACCCATTGTGACTCATCTAGATCACTAGATGTGAATGGATGTAATCAATCCATGTAAAATTTGAGATTATTTTAGTTGCAATTATGCACTCTGAGGTGAATGGATATTTCTATAGCTTCTTTAATACATTTTTAGGCAACCACATACAGGCTTTTCTCCTCTTGTTAGTTAAAGTTACATTTATACTATAAAGTTCCATTTTTTCTTTGATTGTTATATTGTTTTGTTTAGTATTTACAGCCCAAAATACCGTTTGATTATAGAGAGGTAGTGTACTTCCTTGAAAAGTTATTGCTTATCATGAACAATATCTCAAAAGACAAATCATTTGATGACTTTTAGGTATAATGAAGCATGAAATGGAAGTGATGTAGTAATGCAAGTTTGTAATATGATTGATTCAAGCTGTCTATCTCCACTTCAGGTTTCTAAAGTCTAAATTTTCAGCAATTGCACCAAATGTGGATATATATATTTGGTATTGCTGATCCTTTCTCTTGTTGCAATAGAAATGTAAAAACAGATTGAGTTGTGTTAGATCTAAAGACTCATCCTTAAGTTCCCATATGAACATTCGGGCATTTTCTTGAACGAATTGGCCACTCTTAGACTCAGAGCCTTCTTTCCCATGCTTGTCAGGATGAGATTTAACATTGCACCAAACTTGCCATTGTTGAGTAAGGAATATTAATAACATGACAATTAGCTTCCACCCAATAGATTATTGTAAAGGTAAGGTTTTGATTTGAGTTCATTACTTCCCCAAAGCCTGCCTTTACAATTTTCTAACATGAAGGTTACTTCAGACCCTCATCATCATCATCATCATCATCACCATCATCATCATCAACATAATAATCAGACACAGGCTTCCTATGCAATTGTTTGTACTGCAGTTCCGACAAGCTTCTTTCTCTCTCCTCATCTAAACAATTTTGGCATTTGTTATGGGGTTGAAGGAGAAAATGGTGCACTCTACTCATTTGTCTGTAATGCCATTGAAGTTTGATGGTTTATGTAGTGACAGCACCAGGTTCCAAGTTTTACCTTGCTTGAGGTTCTACTTCATTTGCATTGCAAATGAACAAAACAAAGGAATAAATTAGAACTGGGTAATGAAGGGCTGAAATGCTTTGACATCTGTTCTGATTTGCAGTTTTTAATAACAAAACATTGTACTCATGATGCATACTGCAATGGTGTTGGAAACATTGATTTGGGCCCGAAGGGTAAAATTGGCAAGATGTGAAAAAATACCAACTTTTACCTGGGTAAGTGCATTTACCCAGGTAAGTGTGTTTCCAAAAAACAAACATGGCCCAAGATTCAAACAGAAGTTCGAAACTCCTAAATCAGAAAACCAAGATAGAGTTTGCTAGTCAATTTGCAAGAACTGTCTCTGAGGGGCTGCTGTGTGACCGCACTGATCTTACCAACAATCTTAAAGGGGATATGATAATGGATTCATAAATGGTCTGAATTCAGATTTCTAGTAACCATAGAGATCTCATGTACCGTTTGTCTAGGAAACTATGTAGTGTTGAGTTCATGCGAGAGGGCCATAAGAAGCCTGCCTTCCATTACACTTATTAACCGTAGTCTGTAGGCCCATAAAGGCCAGGCCCCAGAGGCCCATAAAGCATGTTCCTCCAAACCAAAGTAGTAGAATGCAACAAGTATTTTTACCAAAAACCACTCTATATTCGTAATATTCCAATAATTAATAATAACAAGTCTCAAATGAGTCAAATCTCAATTCCCAACAAAATTCAAGCAATTCAGACTCCAGACACTAGAGACTGCTTTTATTGAGTATAAATTACAAAAAAAAAAAAAGAGAGAAAAAAAATAAGAAAACCAAACCCGACCCGACTGACTCACAACCTGGCTTGGCTGACCTCACGAGCAGCAGCAGAAACACAAACATACGAACGAACGAACGAACAAACTAGTAAGCAAGAGAAGAAACACAATGACAACCAACGACGCTCTCCATCTCCTCCGCCACAAGGCCCGCAATCTCTTCCCAGCAGTGCAGAGTCGACTTCGGAGAAGGGTACACTACGCACCCCTTCTCTATCGCCGTGAAACTCCGGTACACGACGCACCGCCCACCGGGCACCTCCTGCTTCACCACCTCCTCGCACGTGTACCCCTCCACGCCCAAGTCATTCTCCCACTCGTCCACCCGACCATAGCACGTCACGGCTATCGAAAACCGGGCCGGACCGAAGCATCCCAGAACTCGCTTCACTAGCGGTCCGAGTCCTACCGAACCGGGGTCAAGCCCCATTGCCTCGTAGCTCGCGTAGCTGAACCCGTCCTCCGGGGTCACGTGAATCGTAGAGAAAGCTTCACCGTCGATCCCATTCATCGAGTACCCGCAGGGATCAAAATCGAAGTCGCAGATCTCGTGCGATGGCAGTATGTCAGATATTCCGGCGAGTTTCGTCATTTCCTTCGCCGTGTAGTCCGCCGATTTTTTGAAGAACACGGCCGCCCGGTCTCGGTCTAGGCCCGTCATGCACATCTCGAGAGTGACAACAACCGTCTGATCATTCCGTGATGACGTTGAGGGGTTCTGGCACGCCGCGTAAACATGCCAGTTGCGATTCGGAACCGCCGGGTCGCCGATCACGTACGCCTGCCCGCCGGAAGCGAGGTTGCCGAAGAAACCATTCAGAACGCTGACTTCCTCGGAGAAGCCGCGGTGAGGGGCAGGTTGGGCAGTTGGGAAAATGAAGCTCCCGCGGGAATATTTCACCGAGTAGACGGAGAGCGAAAGCGAGTTGGCGAGTTCGAGAATCGGCGGGATCGATAGCAGCAACTTCGTCGTCCCGCAGGTCTTGAGTATTATCTTGAGAGGGTAAACGAAGAGGCTCGACTCGGAGAGGACGTACGAGTCGAATTCCGAGTTTGAGAGCTGAGCCACAATGGTACACTTGGCGGGTTCGAGGATGGAGTCGAGTTGAGCCCGAGTCAAGGCTCGAAGGCCAAGTCCTTGCGGGTCGACGAACACGGGTGCCTCAGAGAAAGTAATCTCAAGGCGCTTCTCGAATCCTTCGAAACCGATTGCTGAAGGTTGCTGTGGTGGAGTATTGGTGTTGCACAGAACAGCGGCCATGGCTTCGATGTTGAGCTTGAGGATCATCAAAAGAAGAGATGGAGAGACGGAATAGAGAGGTTGTTGAAGAACAGCTAGCCAGAGAGTTTTGTTTATTTGCAGAATCGAAAACAGAGAAATTGAAGGAGAATCCTACTCTACAGAAGAAGGCATTTGGAGGGTATATCAGGATGGCTTCCTCACGCACTGCAGAAAACAAAGAACGAAAACAGAGGATTAGACTCTGAAACAAGGAATACAGAGAAAAAAATAATGCGGAAACAATAGGGCCTGTCAGAAATCTTACGTTGGAGTAAGCAGCAGATCGGAACTTCTCAATTCCACCGTTCGGTCGAACATCTTCAATGCTGTAGCCGAGGGGGACTTCGTATTGTAAGGAACTACTACTAGATTTCTTCTGGCCACCTTTAGACTCCATTAAAACATTCACGCTTCCTGCAACAGACCAAAACACAGATTTATTGGTTTACCGAGCCGATATGCAATCTCAAAATTCTACAAACAAAAAAAAAAAATAACAGAAGAAATCAGCATTCAGTAGTTTATAGTCCATGCAATCGAATAATAAAAATAAAATATCTTAAAAATCGATTATAATGAAACCAAACCCGGAAAAGAAGAAAGGAAAAAGGAAAGGAAATATTTGAGGAATAACTCAAAACACAAAAAATACCAGTCCCTTTCTGTGAAATCAATAGAAGAAGCAATGCGCAACGCAGAAGATAATAAACCCACCAATATCCTAAGTAAAAAACCCCGAAATCAAACATGCAGAGGCAAAGAATGCATTGAACTTGAGGTCGAGAGCATAAGAGAAGAAACGATATCTAAAGAACAAACCCCAGATTTAAGAAGAAAGATCGAAGAACAGAACTTACGTTACAGAAAGAGAGTCTGAGAATGGCGAGAGAAAGATCCTCAGAGTGGTCGATCGTTGGAAGGAATCAAATAAAGGGATGGCAATATGGAAGGGAAGGAGAGAAGAACGATCGAGGAGGTGGCCTGTGAAACACAGAAACAGTGAGGAAGCAGGAAACAGAAARTGTGTACGAGGGGGAGAAGGAACGGAGGAGAGTATTTATAGGGAGGAAAGGAAGCAAAAGGCGTGAAGCCTCACGATAAACAGGCGTGAAAGCTCGGGGAATTCGGGAGAGTATCGAGTTATCAACTGGTCGAGTCCACGCGGCGGCGCCCCTCTCGATCGTTTCGCCCGTCTGGCTCGGCGGTTCGATTTACTAAAGGTGGCCCTGCCCCCGGGCTGTAACCGCTCGACCCGATTAAGAAATCCGAATCGGACCCGTTTATAATTTGATCAAATATGGATATACTCATATACCCTAATATGATCCCATATCATCTAATAATTTTAAATATTTATATCTTTACATAAAATGATCCTATATATTTCTATTGGTCGAATTCACACTTCCATGGCATCTAAAGGATATTTGTGTCTTTTTATATGTTATTTAATGACTAATTAATTGGATTGACGGTTTTAAAATTAGAATATCAAAATTATATTCAAGATACTAATCTGTAATTTTCCATATTAATTTCTATTTATTAAGGTTTGTCTTCATCCAATTTTTTTTTTTTTCCATTGAGAAAATGTTTGGCTATAGCGTAGACATGGGCTTGAATCCTACTTTTATTAGGATAGGAGGTTTTTGGGTTTGGGGAATGCTACCTCCGGTGTTATGGGTGCAAGTCCGAGAGTTTGGATTCATTCAAGGCAGATTGAATCTGGTTCAATCGAAGTTGTACTCCTACGCCCTACCCATTGTGTATTTGGGTGAGTTCATGTTGAGTATATGTCAAAATATGAACATGTTTAAGTCCTGTGGAACTTCTTCACATTGGGTATTGGATTTGGTCCATTTGGACCATGGTGGACTCTGGCCCGGATTTGGACAATTCGATAATTGACGGCTCTCTCTCTCTCTCTACGCCCTTTTGGGCAGGCTGGATTGCAAAAGTTGTAAGCACAATTTGTCAAGAATGCTTGCTCAATTTTCTTTTTTTTCTTTCTTATTTTCTATCAACCAAACATTGTCTTTCCTTGGCCCTAGAACCCTAATCCTAGGTCCAGAAGTTTCTTGTCATTTCCTTCGCTCTAGAAACTGAATCAATTTACCACCTTATGGCAGGAAATCAGTCGTTGAGAACAAAAGAAAATTTGACACATGGGTGAATCAAATCCAAACCCTAATATAACAAATGTCTTGAAAAACAAAATGGTTTTAATGGAGTAGTGTAAGGGCATGTGCGTATAGAAAGAAGTAAGGGTAAGTCATTTATGTGGATAAATGTGTTATTTAGAAAGGAAATATTTGCACGAATAAGTGTATTTATAATTAAGTGCTTTTATTTTATAGGTAAAGTTGTATTATAATTATTTTATCCATAAAAATGTGATTATTGAAAGAATAATACTGTCCTGTCCTATCATGTATTAACAATATTCTGTACAAACATAAAAGTGATTTATCCAAATCTCAAGAAGATATTATTTATCCAAATAAATGAATTGTTTGAAAACCATTATTTTTCAACCCACTAATATTGAAATACAAATGTATGTTCCTATTTTTCTATGGGACCCACCAATTCTCTCTAAGTAAAGATATAAGTTAAAATTATACAATCAAATTTAACTTTTATAACATACATCATCAAAATCATGACAAATATCAACTTTATAATAATATAAATGAATGTACCCATGAATTAATTATGAGCTGACCCATCTGGATAACCCTTGAAATGAAAACTGGGCAGAAGCTACAATATCGTCATTTTTTTATGTTGTTAATACTACATACCAAAAGGGTTGAGCAACGCTTGAAATGAAAACTCAACAAACCCAGTGGTCGAAGTAGGATTAGACCTAATATTACTTGGTCAAGGGATGGATGTAAGGTTCATCTTAATGATGGTTTTGCGGTGCAATGCCGATTATCGAGCTCATTCTACATTTGAAATTGTTTAAATCGGGCACCCAATATTTTTTTATCATCATTATTATTATTATTATTATTATTATTATTATTATTATTATTATTATTATTATTATTATTATTATTATTATTATTATTATGTAGTAAACATTTTAAGTTGATTTATACACATTAGTGAGAAATAAGTGTTGAATGTGTATATGTGATGATCATTGACATTTATAATTGAAGTGTTAAGTTTGATGTTTTAAGTAGAAATGGAAGAAGGGTTTCTTTGCTAGAGGCATTCTCAAAGGGATTTTGTTGGGGCGTGGCTCCCTTTAGGATCTTCTGAAGGGAGCCACCCACCTGGGCTCTCGTTCACTTTCCTCCTTCTGGTTTCTCTCCCTCCTCCCTCTCTCTCTGTTTTGAGAGAGCCTCCCTCTCAAGTTTTCTTGAAGTTTTTTTCTTGAGTTTTCTCAAGGTTTTGTTTTTTCTGTTCGTGGTTTGATGCTGTTTGAGGTTCTCACTCAAGCTCATCGTTTGCAGGCGAAGGCAGTCTTTGGTTTCCTCCTCTGTCAGTTCGTGGTTCTCCAAGAGTTGTTCATGGTAAGTCCCGTTTGCGGTTTTCTGATTGATGCTGCTCATAGTGAGTTTCCAGTGATGGCAGCCTTTAGGATTCCTCCTCTGTTAGCTTCGTTCATAGTCTGTGGTGGTTTAGTGGATTGGTGATGTGTTTATTTTCTTCTGTCGGTGATTTATCCTCACCATTTTCTCATTTGTAGAAGATCTTTAGATCCTCCTTCATCCATTGTCTTATTTTATTCTCTTGAGAAATTGTTCCTGGGTTTTCTGATTGGCCTCATCAGCATTTCTTTTTGTATCAATTTCTTGATTGAATGAAATATGATGATTATGAGAGATTTCAAAAAAAAGGGTAAAAATGGAAATTTATATTTGACCAACCCCAAATGTTTCAGGTAAAAAAAAAAAGTCTCTCTCACAATTTACAAATTTATATTGAACAATCAAAATATTTCAAATAGAAACAACAATGATACCAAAAGCAACCTAAATGCTTCATTATGGAAAGGTGGGCCAGACATAAATACAGTAGGGTTCAAAAAGGGATCAACAAAGGCAATCCATTTAATTTGATTGCTGGTGAGTGAATAGAGGGATGAGAGTGACATATGCTTTCACTTCCATGCATGAGGAGGGAGGGGACGAAATAGGAACCCATGAATTCCCTCATTTGTGCTAGAAAATCTTAATCAAGTTGGGGAAGCTGTTTGCCTTATTGTCACACTTGCTTCATATTCCCCCCACTTGTTGTATAGTACAGTTATGTCAATTCAGACGAGCAAACAATGGGCGTGCCATGGGATGACAAAGGAGTGGTTTGAACTTTGAAGTTTGATTCCTTTTAGGTAGAGCAATTTATATGTCCCATTCCATTCCATTTTATTTACTCCACTAAAGTTTTATAGAAAATAAGAGAGAAACAGATCTAGAGAGAGAGATTGTTCCAACATTCAGGTGGATTATTCCACCAACTCACAGAACACAACATAGTTTTGGCTAGTTGGGGTATTAGATGAACCACACAAAACAAATTTCTGTTTTTGTTGAGCAATTCTCATTCCTAGCTAAATCATATCAGAACCAGGAAAAAAAAATCTGAGGCAGAAAGCCCTCTCAAGAGATACCCTGCAGGATAAAACCTATCTTAAGATATTGTTTTTATTCATGATACTATATGGTTTGAACCATTTGACATGAAGGGTTGAACCCCTGGCCTGCCACCCGAAAGGAAAAGAGGTTCAATTTTTGGCGGGGTTTTAAAACATTGTAGTGATTCGGGTACATCCCATACATTTGTTGATATAGAATAAGTCATGTACTAACTTCTAATAGGGTACCTTCTATCCTTTCTTTCTTTCCCAAGAGAAGGGATGTACCCTATTATAAAAACCCCTTATAAAAAATGGGAATGTGTCCTTATCATCTCACTAGTATTTATCTTACAAGTCGGGTGGGTGTCTTTAATTTTTCATTAATGTGGTCCAATTAAAGCMGGATGTGCCCAGATAGGTCCTTTTTTTTTTCTTAATTATTAACTGAAAAAAATTATGAATTTGGCTAGCTAATAGTTGGAACATGCAGTGTCCTCTCTATATATTTCTATTTCATAAAATACTTAACCACAAAAAAAAAAATACTGAATAACAACAAACAAAACAATTTTGCACATCATTCAGATCTAAACAATTTTTTTTAGGCTGTATTTGGTTGCAATGCTAATAAATTTGTACTGATGCAAAACCATGGCAATGCAAATGATTTGAGTGTAAATTCTGACCTATTTTTGTTTCAAATTTTAATTTTCAGTTTATTTTGTTTGATWGCAATACAATTGAAGTAAATTAAGACATGAAGCCAAATAAAATAAAATCCAAAACAAAATTAAACAAGAAATTACATTTTTTATATTTGCACTCTCATACACTTGTA